GCGGCCCGCTTCGCGCTTCGCGCTCGCGCGGTGCCGCCGCCGTCGCCCTCCTGATTTCCCTCTTCCCTCGGCCCTCCTTCGTCCCTCCTGCATCCTTCCGCCTCCTCCTTTTCCTCCGTTTATCCCTTTCCCTCCCTCCCCTTCCTCCCTCAGCCGTTCTGGCTCAGGCCATTGGGGCCTGAGTATGCAAGCGCGTGCTTCAAAGCGGCTCGTGTTCGCGGATCTTCCTGTGTGAGGACGATCAGGGGTTCTGCAGCCAGCTGCTGAAGATGGGTCCCCCGCCAGAAGTACCCAGGGCCGCACCTTCCTCACTGGAGTTGCAACTGTGGCTGCGATGGCGCCAAGGCGGTGGCGTGGTCCAAGTCAGGTGGCCAGCGTGAACTTTGCGGACCATCAAGTCCCTGGAGGCCAAGATCGCGAATCTTACTGTTCGGATCGCTCGGACGGGCCCAAAGACAGCTCGAGTGGCACCAGTGGCAGACCCCCATTTGGGCCGACGTACAAGGACTTGCTCGGCTTCCTTAAGCTCCAATGGTTCGAGGCATCGGCCATAGCTGCAGTCGAGCAGGCGGAGAAGAAAACTGTTTTGGTCGAGGTCAAATCTCCGAATGCACGCGCGGCGCGGTGGAAGGTGGATAATTTTCGCATCAAGCTTGGCAAGATGGAGGCGATGGTGCAGCGCCGGAGCTGCAGAAAATGGAGATTGAGGTGTAGTTCGGCAGCGTCCAGATCACCGTGGCGTCATTCAAGGTGGAGCCGGGCGAGGCTGAAGAGCTGCTGGTCAGGCTTCAGGCAGCCAGGCTCGGTGACCCGCTCAAGGCGGTCTCTGCCAGCCTCGCCGCCGCCGTCGTCGAGCCGCAGGCAAGCGAGGACGCGATCGTAGTCTTACAGCGGCTTTATTCGGAAACAGAGCAGGTCAATGCGGGCCCTCCTCGTGCTGCTCAGGAGCAGCTCCTCCTCGTGGCGCCGGCGGTGAAGCTGTTGGAAGGACAGCTGCGCCAATCACCACATCTTAGTCGGCAGCGACGACATCGATATGGACGCGCTGCATTGGGAGGACTTTGCGCAGCGCCAGGCGGATTTTTTTGTCAAGGCGCCCCAGGAGCTGCGGAAGGCCCAGCCTGCAGACCAGAAGGCCGCAAAACGCTCCTACGCCGAGGCTGCTGCTGTCGTGGGGGTCGACCGAGCGCGGCATCCTTGGCATGATCCAGGGCGGTGCGTCTACCGTGGAGTTCTGGAGCGACAGCAGCATCGACGTGCAGCGGCCTACCCTTGGTTTCGGCGCTCCCGCGGCGAGGCCTGGGGGGTGAATCGCATCCATGCTAGAGTCGCACAAGTCAGGCCCCCCTCAAGGCGGGCTCACCCACTGTTCGTGCAGTTCGTGGTGCTGCAGGGAGCCGAGTGGGTGGGATTATTTCCCATTTCGGTGGGTTTGCACTCCCAGCGTGGGTTGGCATAATTCCGGAGGGGATGTTGGGGGCTGCGAAGCACGGCCCATGTGTGCTGGTGGCGATCTGGCTGACTGGCGGTTGGGTGGAGGTCTGTCCAAGTTGGAATTGGACGTCGGTGCTTCCGGCGTGGGTGGCCCTTGTCCCCGGGCCGTGTGGAATGCCCCTTCAGGGGCTTGCTCCCAGAGTGGGCGTCAGCGCTAACGGCCCGATGCCTGCTCGTCCGGGCGGGGCGTTCGTTGACAGTCGAGTGGGTGGAGGTGCTTCCCACGTGGTTCACGGTGCGTCCAGCGTGGTTGGCCTTATCCCCAGGCCTGTCGGCGTCGAGACTGGCGGCGGCGCGCGCGGGGCCGCCGCGGCGTTGCCCGCGGGCCCTCCCCGCGCTCGGTCGCGATGGAGGTCGACGGCCCCGTCTTGGCGCAGCGTGTGTGCTCTTCGGAGTTGCCTGTGGGCCCCTCTGTTCTCGGTCGCGAATTTGAAGATCGACGACGTCGTCCTGGCGAGGCAGCGCCGAGGGCCGCGTCGCATCCACCAGCCAGCGTCGACCCCGGCCAGGGTATTGCTTTAAGCGCGGTTTCCATTGCCCTGGCGGAGCGGTCGATGCTGCCGTCGGCGGGCCTCTCATTCGCCCGCCCAGCGAAGGCTGAGACGCCGTCGCGGAGGGGCCCGCGGCATGCTGGCGTTCCCCGGTGGTGGTGGTGGTGGGGGGCAGGGCCGCCGCGCGGGGGCCCGTTGCCGCGAACCGGTTGGAGGAAGGGCAGAGAGGGTCGCAAGGGGTCGTTGTCCTGCGTCGACCTCCTCAGAGGAGATCGGGGGCGGCGCCGAGAATGCGCCGCCTATTGCCAGCTGGCGCCCGCCGCGGCTACGACGTCATCGAGGTGAGGATCGGCCTCTTGCGCGAGAGGCTCGTGCAGTTTGCAGGTGAGCTAGTCATTATCTGTGCGAGCTCCAGCTCTCGGGGGGCCTGCGGGCGCGCGCGCGGTCTGCTCGGCGGCGGGGGGGTGGGCGACGTCGCGAAGGCGGCGCCTTCCTTGGTGGGCCTCCAGGGCGGGCGACGTCGCGGTGCAGGCGCTGGCTTCGGGCCTCGGGCAGGGCGGGCAGCTTCGCCGGGCCATGGGCGAACTGGGGGCGGCGGGGTCGAGGTGGCTCCGCGCTGCGCCTCGGAGGGCGCCGCGCTGCCCGAGGGGCGCGCCCCCCGCGCCCGCCGAGTCGCGATCGGGCGCGCGAGCGTGGGCTCCCCGATGGCTTTTCGCTGTGTCTACGTGCCTTTCGGTGAAGGGGGGCCCGAATAGGCCCCCGCGAACTAGGGCCTCCTCCGCGGTCTCACGGGGGGCGCGCCGCGGGCGACCCCGAGCGACAGGAACTGCGCGCCGCGGGATTTGCGCGAGTCGGGTTTGCTCGACGCGCGCGCGGGGGTAGTCTTCGAGGCTTAGCGGCCCGCTTCTTTCGCGCAGCGCAAGCGCGCGGGCGGGTGGGCGGGGGGGAGGGGGGGCTCGGTTAACTTCGTGGGTGCTCGTGTCCTTCGACGCTGGGCGGTGAAGGCGCCGCCGTCGGCCACGACCTCGCCCCGCGCCCCGGTCGTCGCGGCTCCCCGGCGTCTGGCGGCGAGGGCCAGTTCCCCCTCGGCGCGCCGGCCCTCGCCTGATGCCCGCGGGGGGTCTTGGCGCGAGGCTCCCGGCCAGGTCCCCGAGGGACTTTCTGGGGCCGTTCGGGGATGGTGCTGCGAAGCGATGGCGCGGCTGGGGGTGCGTCGTGACGTGCCCGATTCAGAGGCGGGTCTGCATGGGGGGGTCTCTAGGCCCGCGGGTCAAGGGGGGGCCTCCTGGATTGCGGGGCCCGCCGTCGTTTCGGGCCGTGCGCGGCGTCTTGGGCGGCGGCCCTGGGATCCGGGATTGGCTCTGCGCGCGGGCCAGCTTCGGCCCGGCCTGTTCGGGCGGCGGCGGCGGGGCGGGGCGCCCGCCCGAGTAGGCCCCGCTCCATTTTGCCCGGGCTTCGCCGCGGTAGGTGGCGAAGCCGTCGCGTTTCGGCATCGGTGGCCCGGCGATTGCCCCCTCCGCCAGCGAGCTGGCGCCCGAGAGCGCGGCCGCCGAGGCGGGACTTGAGTCGGTCGAGAAAGCGGGGGGGGGGCTGCTCGCGCTTGCGCCGCGTGGAAGGCCGCGGAACCTTTTCGCCTGGAGGACGGGTCTGGAGGGCCCCCTGTCAACGGCGACCTGGCAATCGCGGCTCTCCCGGACGCGCGGCGGCCCGGCCTCCATGATCCCGGGGAATCGGCTGCAGCGATTGCCCCCCGCCACCATGGGGGCCCGCTGGGAAGCGCGCAAGTCGCGCGCTGAAGGCGCAGGGCGACTGGGCGGGGGCAAGCCCCGCCCGAAGTGGGTCCTCCATCTGCCGACCAGCTGCCAGACCGGGGGGGGGGGGGATAAGGGTGAGATTTAAGAGTATGTGGCGTGAGGTTTTTCCCATCATCATCATCATCACCATCATGCATCACCCCCATCATCACCATCATAATATTGTTCCTCCCCCTCCGCATGTTCCTTCTCGTATTCATCGTCCTCCTCCGCATTTCCTTTCTCTTCCGCGCGATCATAAGAGTAAGACATCCGTGCAGTCAAAACACTGACAAACCCATGCACTCAAAAACAATAAGAAGTCCGTACAATCAAAAACAATAAGAAACCCATGCATTCAAAAACAATCAGAAAACGTCTTGGTTCTACGAACCATGTGAGGGCACCAAAAAAAAGAAACCAAACACACTTGTGAGGATCCCAAAAAACTACAAATCAATTGTTTTCGTGTCTTCGGGCTTCCTCCGGGCCCCCCCAGCTGACAAATCCATGCAATCAAACGCAATAAGAAATCCGTGCAATCAAAACAATAAGAAATCCATACATTCAAAAACAATCAGAAAACGTCTTGGGCCCACGAACCCTGTGAGGGCACCAAAAGAACAAACAATAATTAAAAAGCAAATTCAAAAAAACTTGTGAGGGCACCCAAAAAACCAAAAATCAATGGTTTTCGTGTCTTCGGGCTTCTTCTGGGCCCCTCCAGCCCAGATCCGCCCAAGCAGCCTGAAGGCGCGAAAACCATTTTTTTGTTTTCTTCGCCTGGGGGGGGGGTTCGGGGGGGTTTTGGTGCCCTCGCAGGGTTCGTGGGCCCAGGGCGTTTTCTGATTGTTCTTGGTTGTATGGGTGTCTTAATGTTTTTGAGTGTGCGGATTTCTGATTGTTTTTGATTGTAGGGATTTCTTATTGTTTTTGATTGTGTGGATTTGTTATTGTTTTTGATTGTGCGGATTTCTTATTGTTTTTGACTGTCTGGACTTCTTATTGTTTTTGAGTGTATGGGTTTCTTATTGTTTTTGAGTGTGCAGGTTTCTGATTGTTTCTGATTGTATGGGTTTCTTTTATTGTTTTTGAGTGTACGGGTTTCTTATTGTTTTTGATCGTATGGATTTCCTATTGTTTTCGATTGTAGGGTGTTCTCATTGATTTTCATTGTGGAGACTTCTTTTCATTTCTCGTTGTACCGGCCCCCTCCTCTCCA